AGAGGGTTGCTGTGAGTTGCAACTGATGTGAGGGCACCTAACAGCAACAATGTAAATGTTAAAAATCCAGAGAGGTATTGGGGGGGGGGGGAAGACGTGGAGATGGCAGGTGATGCTAATATGGAGAAGGACAAAAATGGAAGGAGTAAAGTTGAAGGTGGTTATATATGTGTCCCTCTGGTAGCATAGTGCCTAAGGCACTTGACTGCTCACCAGAAGGCTGGCGGTTCAAACCCACAAAGCCACTCCTCGGAAGGAAGGTTGGGCAATCCTACTTCCGTAGTGATACTGCCTCGGAAACCCAAGGAGGGGTCTCTGTGAGTCGGGGCCGACTCGACGGCAAACAACAACAACAACACGTTTGAAGAAAATGTACTCTGGGTGAAGGAGAGAGAGGGTGCCCTAGTATAACATAGATTAAAACTTCAAGCCTGCTGTGTACTCTAAAGGATGGTCATAACAGTGCTTTAGAAGGAAGTTAGCCCAAAAGAAACAGTGGTTTCAGAAATGGGGGGAGGAGTTAAAAGATTACAGGGGATTTAGAAGTATATCAGAATAACTTTGACAGACTCTGACTCTTTTTCTCATTTTTAAGAGCACCAAAAGCCATTGCTATTGAATCAATTCCAACTCTTAGCAACCCTATGGGACATAGTAGAACTGCCCCACAAAGTTTCCAACACTATAATCTTTACAGAAGCAGACTGCCAATCTGCCAAATCATCCTGTACAGCAAGCAGGCTGATGGGTTCGAATTGCTGCCTTTTTTGGTTAGCAGCTGAGCTCTTAACCACTGTACCACCTGGGCTCTTTTTTTTAAGATCAGGAACTCTCAAAGATGGAGGTAATAGTCCATATCTCATGTTTTTGTTTACATTAAAATGTAGACTTACCTTTTGCCATTTTGAACTTGATGGCAACTAACAACAACATGTTTCAGAGATGATCATAGCCTTTATCCAGCATGAGTGTGTAACTCAGTGGATAACATGCAGTCCTTTCTACTCTTGGTTACAAGTTTAATTTGTCTGATGGTTAACCACAATATCTGGGACATGGCGCCATTGAAGTTTTGTCTGTTAGTTGCAGCATCTTTGCTTGAAACAAGCAATTCTTTTGTGGTGTACCACATTCCCCAGCAGATGGTGCAAATTGTTAACTCGTTGGACTGCTAACATAAAAGTTGATGGCTTGAACCTTCTAGCAGCACTCCGTAAGAAAGTCGTGGTGATCTGCTTCCATAGAGATTACAGCCAAGGAAACCTTACCGGGCTCAGTTCTACTCTGGGACACTTGGGGTCACCAGGAGTCAGAATCAACTAGATGGCAATGACTTTTGTTTCTGTTGTGTTGTCCTTTCGGCTGTGTGTATCTCCCATGATTCACTATTGTATGCTTTTAGTAAACGTGATTTCGTTTTGGCTCACAGCTTAAACAGTACCTCTGAAGTTTTTCTTAGTCTCTTTCTGTAGTAGCCGCCCTGCCCCCAGTTCTCTTCTTTTTGTGGAGGATTGGTGAGTAGTGGGGAGACATAGGTTTGCTGAAATGCTAGCAAATGATAGCATATTGTTTCTGATTGTAGAATATTTATATTATATATTATCTTTAAATGCGCCAATCTTTTATGGATCATCCATCCTCCACCCAGCTCCTGTTATTCATACACGTCTAGCCCTCTGCTTCAGCAAAGTCCCAACTTTTCACTGTCTTATGGCAAACCAAGCTCTTTCACTATTCCCGGCCACTTTCCCTTTCATTACTCTCTCCTGGAATGCTTTACAATTTTTCCTCCGCTTGTTTGAATTCTATTCCTTAATCAAGGGCTGGTTAGCCTGTCTCTACTCAGCCTTTCTCAGCCACCCTCACTGATGACAATTTTCTCAGAAATGCTGTAGCATATGCCACTTATCTAAGGGTTTAGTAAAATTCTGTCTTATCACTTGCTGTGTGTGAGTGTTTGGGCTGTTTAATTAAAATGTAAACTTGTATAAGGTGAAGATCACATCCTATAAAAAGAAATTCTTAACATAATCTTCTATCAAATCTTTTTGATCATTTGATGTAATTTTAATAACTTTCTTAAATCTCTTAAGACAACCAGATAAAATGTTATCTTTTTCTCTCTACTCTTTAAACCTTTATACCAAGTAAGTTATCAGTTACTTATAAAGAATTAATAATAGACTCACAAAAGAGAAATTATATTTTAAATTTCAAAATACTTAGGGAAGTTTGACTCCTTCAATAAAGATTTTACTCATGCTTTTAGTCTTTGTTGATCCTCTTAGTCAATCTTTTTAACAGGGAACTTTTTCTGCCATGTACTATGAACGTTTTTCTACTTATCCAAAAAAAAAAAAAAAAAAATCCAAACCAAACGCACTGCCATCAAGTCGAGTCGATTCGACTCATAGCGACCCCTCTTGGGTTTCCATGGCATTGTCTCTGCGGAAGTAGATTGCCCAACCTTCCAAGGAGTGGCTGGTGTGTTTGAACCACCAGCCTTTTGGTTAGCAGTCAAATGACTTAGGCACTATGCTGCCAGAGCTCCTTTTCTACCTGTGGACCATTGATATTTCTCACTTTTTTAGTCCTTAGGATATAGCTGTAATAGGAAATTATTCTTTGTTACTGGTTCTCAAAGGTGGTCTTCAGATTTACCTGCATTAGAATTACCTAGAGTGCTTATTTTTATTTTTTATTTTTTTTGCTGACCTCCTCCTTATTGTATATTGCCTTGTTCTTCATCCAAGTTAATATGTGGTTACCCTCCCTTCCCTTTCCACCCCTGGTAACCATCAGAGAATAATTCCTTTTGTGTGAAAATCTTTTCTTTTTACATATAATATCTGTCCTTTTGTGATTGACTAACTTCACTCAGCATGCCCTCTAGGTTCATCCATGTTATGAGGTGTTTCGCAGATTCATCATTGTTCTTTCACGCTGAGTAGTATTCTGTTGTGTGTGTGTACCGTAGTTTGTTGATCTATTCTTCCATTGATAGGCATTTAGGTTCTTTCTTTTTGCTTTTGTGAATAGTGCTGTGATGAACATGAGTGTGCATGTATCTGTTCATGTCATGGTTCTTAATTCTCTAAGATATATACCTAGTAGTGGGATTGCTGGATCATATGATATTTCTCTTACCATCTTTTTAAGGATGTACCGTACTGTTTACTGTAGTGGTTTGCACTGTTTTACGGTCCCACCAGCAGTGTACGAGGGTTCCAGTCTCTCTCCACACCTTGGACAACGTTTGTTGTTTTCTGGTTTTGTGACCTTTGCTATTAGTACTAGAGTGAGATATCTCATTGTGTGAAGATTTGCATCTCTCTAATGGCTGCCTAAGGCATTTGACTGCTAACCAGAAGGCTGGCAGTTCAAATCCACCAGCCACTCCTTGGAAGGAAGATTGGGCACTCTACTTCTGTAGTGATACTGCTTCAGAAACCCAAGGAGGGGTTACTATGAGTCAGATTCGACTCAATGGCAGTGAGTTTGAGTTTAGTTTTTTTTTTTTTTTTTTTTGAATGGTAGCATAGGGCCTAAAGCACTTGACTGCTAAGCAGAAGGATGGCAGTTCAAACCCACCAGCCACTCCTTGGAGGGAAGATGGGGCAACCTACTTCCATAGTGATACTGCCTTGGAAACCCAAGGAGGGGTCACTATGAGTCAGATCCGATTCAACAGCACATAACAACAACAACAGTGATTGTAAGCATTTCTTCGTATGTTTGTTAGCTGCCTGAATGTCTTCTTTGGTGAGGGTCTGTTCATGTCTTGTGCCCATATTTTAATTGGATTATTTGTCTTTTTGTTGTTGAGTTACCTCAAGTGCTTATTTCTTACTTTTTGTTATTTGTTTCTTGAATTGTGATTTGGATGAAAATTTACAGAGTGAACGCATTTTCTGCTGAACAGTTAGAACACATTTTCTTTCATGACATTGATTGCAATCTCTGTATAATGTAACAGCTGTCTTCCCACTTCCTCCCTGTGGTTATCTTTTCTCTGTGTCCTTTCCTATATGTTCCTACTCTCTCCTAGAGTGTTTATTAAAGTACTGAATCAATGTTCTTTCCTGAAACTTGCTGCTGTCCATACTTTTTTTACTTTCCTCGTTTTGTTCTTTTGCCATACTGCTCCACATTCTGTCATCATCACCTTTGAAATCCTATTATCTCAAGCTATCTGGTAATTCGTTGCAGCAAGAGGAGTTTCCATGTAGTTAGATTAAGGACGTATAGTCTAGATACACATGCTACCTAAATTGGAATCTTGGCTCTGTCACTTTTCCAAGATCACATAGCAGGTTACTTAAAATATTGCTATCTCAGTGTCCCTGTATATAAAATGGGGGTAGCAGTTTATCGTTTATCTCATTGGCTATTCTATGTATTAAATAAGTGAATATTAGTAAATTCCTTAGAATAGTGCTTGTATGTAGAAAGCACTCAATAATTTTTAGCTGCTACTGTGTTTTCTTCTACTTTTCAGCTCTTATAAATAAAGCCTTTATACTTTAGCAACTTGTATTCTTATGTTAGCTCTTCCTATTGGATTGTAAGTTCCTTGAAGTTAGGGCCTGCCTCATTAATTTTTGTAGGTTTCAATGGATTTTGCATAATATAAGGTGTTAATAAATATATACCGTATCACGTTACTGTAAAATGGCAAAATTGCTAGTAATATATTTTTTTCAGAGCCCATTTACTTAACATAAATTATAATACTAGGTTGTTTAATACTCTTTTTCTGTTGTATTTCAGGAAATCTAATGATTGACCCACACTATTTTACCAGTGGAATGAATTCTCAGAAATGGACATAGTGCCTTTAGAGCCAACATGTAACAGGTAGATGCTACTCCATGCTGATTACTTCTTCAAGCCAACACCTTGTTGATTGTGTAGGTCTTTGTCTCTTCATCTTTGAATTCCAGTTACTACTGTTGGCCAATAAAATAAAAGGAGTTCATGTAGTTCTTGCCCAAGCTTGAATCACCATGAGTAGTTTAGGAAAAGAAAAAGACTCTAAGGAGAAAGATCCCAAAGTACCATCAGCTAAAGAAAGAGAAAAGGAGGCAAAGGCCTCTGGAGGTTTTGGGAAAGAGAGCAAAGAAAAAGAACCTAAGACCAAAGGGAAAGATGCCAAAGATGGAAAGAAGGACTCCAGTGCTGCCCAACCAGGAGTGGCTTTTTCAGTTGACAATACGATCAAACGGCCAAATCCAGCACCTGGGACTCGAAAAAAATCCAGCAATGCAGAGGTGATAAAAGAGCTTAACAAATGCCGGGAAGAGAATTCAATGCGTTTGGACTTATCCAAGAGGTCTATACACATATTGCCGTCATCAATCAAAGAGTTAACGCAATTAACAGAACTTTATTTATACAGTAACAAATTGCAATCTCTGCCTGCAGAGGTGGGCTGTCTAGTAAATCTCATGACACTGGCTCTAAGTGAAAATTCACTCACCAGTTTGCCTGACTCTCTTGATAACTTGAAGAAGCTGCGGATGCTTGATTTACGGCATAACAAACTGAGAGAAATTCCTTCAGTGGTGTACAGGTTAGATTCTCTCACCACTCTTTATCTTCGCTTTAATCGTATAACTACTGTGGAAAAGGACATCAAAAATCTGTCAAAACTCATAATGCTTAGCATTCGAGAGAACAAAATCAAACAACTACCTGCTGAAATTGGTAAGAGGTCTTGGATTACTGTTATTATTTGTAATATTTGTTAATGCTAAATAATGTTGGTGGGGACTTTTCTAATAGAAGAAAATACCTGACATATATCTATAAAACAGCTTGTTTCTAAGTTTCATCTTCTTTATGCCTTATTTTAGTTATTCACTTTTTAGCAATATTTATAATACATGGCTTGAAATTATTTTATGGACTTAAGAAAGTAAGTTACAAAGTAGACAGTATCAGACCTTTTCCACACAAACCTAATCTGCCTTAATTTTTGTCAAAAAAGTGAATTTGAAGCAGAAGAAAAACATAATTTTTATGTCGTTACCTATTTTTAAAGTACTTAGATATATAATTATACTAGATACATTAAAAGGAATTTTGGTGGCATAGTGCGTAAGGCATTTGACTGGTAACCAGAGGTTGGAAGTTCAAACCCACCACCTGCTCTGTGGAAGGAAGACTGGGCAATCCATTTCCGTAGAGATTTACTGCCTCAGAAACCCAGAGGGCATAGCTGTGACTCAGAAACGACTCAATGGCAGTGAGTTTGGTTTGGTTTGAGATGCATTAAGATTACATGTTTCTACTCTCTGATTTACCCTTCCCTGAAAAACAGTTCATTTAAATTCAGATTACTTTCTGCCTAATTCAGCATGGAAGTGTTGGCATATCAGAGCCTTATGAAAGAGCAATGTTACAACAAACAAGAAATAATTTTTTTTTTCATTTTGAAGGTAGTTATTTATCAGAAACAATCCAAGAATACAGAAAGATAGAAGAAAAGCCACCTATAGTAATTGCAACACTGTTGGCATTTTTTTCTTCTGATATTGTATATAAAGCTAAATAATGAGAACAAAGGAGCTTTGGTGGCCTAGTGCCTAAGGCGCTTGACTGCTAACTAGAAGGCTGGTGGTTCAAACCCACCAGCCACTCCTCGGAAGGAAGGTTGGGGCAATCTACTTCTGTAGTGATACTGCCTTGGAAACCCAAGGAGGAGGGGTCACTATGAGTTGAATCGACTAGACGGCAGTGAGGTTTTTTTTTTTTTTTTTTTTTTGGTATGGGAACAAAAGAATGTTTTTAAAAAGGATACTAGTAGGAGAAAAAAATAGGGGAATATATATGTGTAAATAAGTCAGTAAAAAAGAAATAGTTGTCATGATATTTTTAACTAGAAAAAAATTCGGAAACATTTGGACTATAGTGTGTAAATTATTGACTTAATCAATTTTGAGAAATTTATAAAGTTTTATGAATTTTATGTGTAGCCTTTTAATAAAATTTTTAAAAGTTGACAAAGAGTTGATTATGAAACTTAAGTTTTCTTCTTGTATGAAAGACACTATTATTCTGAATAAAAACAAAGGTGAATTAACACATTGTTGCTTTGAGCATTGGTCTTATACTGGATAGTTAAGGAAACTTTCTGTTTAAAGTTTTACAGCTCTGCAGGGATATCATATTCTGTGGATTTTTTTTTTTTTTTCAGCTTTGGAAAAGATGCAATTTAAACAACAATTTAAAAGATAACAATTTTAAGTATGATGTTCTACTATGTTTAGTCCTGACAAGTCACTTAAAATTTTCATTTAATTCAGTGTATTTTAAAAATCTGTGATAGATTTCTTAAGTAATATATATACAAAATATAACTCACTCATATTAAAATATTCCCAGAAGTATTCTGGTAGAAATGCTCCCTTCCATATCTGTAGAATATAATGGGGTTCTTGAATGGCTTTGTTGTTATTGAATGGCTTTTGATGTAATATCAGACTTAGTCCAGATTTGACCTGCATCTGTGGTTCATTGTGTAATAGAATTATAGGATGTTTGAGAAAGAAATACTGAATTTCTATATGGAAACACAGAGTGTTATTTCAGCTGGTTTTGTTCTGTGCCCATGTGATAATCAGTTCTAGAAGTTTGCTTTAATTCACATGAGAGTCTTCATTAAAGAGTTTCTTACCATAGAGATGTTAACATACTGCCTGAGAATTAGAAACATATATGTCTTTTATAATTGTGGTAAAAATGTATTATAACAAAACATTTGCCATTTCAAGATTTTTTTTACATGTACAGTTCAGTGACTTTATGTTCATTGTGTTGTGCAGCCATCAGCACTGTCAATTAAGAATAAGAAAAAGGAAAGTTTCTATTTTTCCTTCCCTAATGTTCTTCCTTTCTCTGTGTAGCTGCAAGTTTCTGGCCTGTGTAATTTTCCTTTTCTCTTACACACTTTTTTAAAATTTTCATTTGCCTGGGAGAGTAATTATTTCTCCTTCACTTTTGAAGGAAAATTTTGCTGCAGATAGTGTTCTAGGTTGGTGTTTCTTTTCTTTCAACATTTTAAATATTTTACTCCACTCACTTCTTGCTTGCATGGTTTCTAGGGAAGTCCGATGGGATTTTTACCCTCGTTCCTCTGTAGGCAAAGTGTGTTTTTCCCTCTGGCTTCTTTCATGATTTCCTTTTTGTCTTTGATATTTTGCAGTTTGAATATAGTATGCCTAGGTACAGTTTTTTGTTTTGTTTAATTTAATTTATCCCACTTGTTCTTTGAGCTTCTTGAATCCGTGCTAATTTGAAAATCTCTGCCATATCCGTCTGTTTCTGATGCTTAGTTTGTCTCTTCAGACTGTGTTTTCTGCCTTTGAGCATCCCTTTACAAGCCATGCAAATTTGAAACAAACAAACAAATCAAATCCATCGCCATTGAATTGATTCCAACTCATAGTGACCTCATAGGACATAGTAGAACTGCCCCTTAGGGTTTCCAAGGCTATAAATCTTTACAGAAGCAGACTGCTTACTCTTTCTCCCACACAGAGCCTTGTGGGTTTGAACCACTGACCTTTTGGTTAGTAGCCAAGTGCTTGTCCACTGTGCCAGCAAAGCTCCTTATCAAGGAAGAATAAAATGGGTTAAAAATGTAAAATGTTGAAAGAAAGGAAAAAAAAAATGCCAATCTAGAATATTGGATCTAAGAAGAGTTATTGATGTTCAGTTTGTTCATTGTTTTTCTTGTGAGGACAGAAGTGATGACTTCTAAGCTCTTGCCTTGTTGAAACTTCAAAGTCAGCTATTAAGTTTATAGATATTATCTACCATGTTGAGTAATTCCCCTATATTCCTTATTTGATGGCAGTTTTTACAGGATTGGGTTTTGGATTTTATAAAATGCTTTCTCTGCATTAATTTATAATCATGTAATTTTACTTTTTTTTTTAGCATGTTGATATGGAATATTGATTAATTTTCAAATTTGTACCAACCCTGAATATTCTGGAGTAAATTTCACTTGGTCAGAGTGTGTACTTCTTTTTAAGTTTGATTCAGTTTTATAATATTTTGTTGAAGATTTTTGTGTCTGAGTTCCTAGAGGCATTGATCTTGATTTTATTCATTGTATCACCTTGGTGTGGTTTATCATGTTCCTCAGTCCTAAACCCAAGGGGGGTCGCTATGAGTCGGGTCTGACTCAACGGCACATAACAACAACAACAACAACAGTCCTCTGTATTTCTGACAACATGACTGGTCGGAATGGACCAGTCCCTGGAGAAGGATATCATGCTTGGTGAAGGAGTAGAGGGTCAGCGAAATAGAAGAAGACTTTCTATGAGATGGATTGACACAATGGCTTCAGCGATGGGCTCAAGCTTAGCACGGATTGTGAGGATGGCCCAGGACCAGGCAGTGTTTCATTCTGTTGTCCACAGGGCCACTATGAGTAGGAACCAACTTGATGACATCTAACAACAACGATGTTTCTGTAAACTGGTAGTTGGAGCTATAGGTTTGATTAGAATTAGGTTTGATTTTAACAAGATCACTTCATAACTGGTATGTGTTCTTTCCAGAGGAGGCACAGAATGTCTGGCTAATGTGTGTATGAATGTATGATGTTAGCAACCATTATTCACTTAATTTTTGATCGCCTGGTGGTACAGTTTGACTGGAAATGGCAGAGCAAATGCTTGATTCTTTCTCTTCATTTAATGTTTTTGAAACTTAATAATATTGTCCTATAGCACCTTCAGTAGTGACAGTATGTATTGTAAACAATTGCTATATCCTTATGAACTCATAGATTCAAATATATATGATGATTCAGTCTTTTGCAGTTATTGTCCTTAGTGATGCTGAAATTATTCCACCTTTGACTAATGGGAATTCCTCCAAGTTGTTTTCTTGGTCTTTTCTACCACTCAGCTGTCATGTTGTCACACTGTGTTGGCTTATGTGTTGCTGGAAGGTATGCCATTGATATTTCAAGTACCAGCAGGGTCACTTATGGTGGACAGGTTTCAGTGGAGAAGACTAAGGCAGACAGGAAGAAAAGCAGATGATGAGCTCTGGTAACATAATGGCTAAAGCACTTGACTGCTAACCAGAAGGCTGGCGGTTCAAACCCACCAGCCACTCCTTGGAAGGAAGGTTGGGCAATCCTACTTCCGTAGTGATACTGCCTCGGAAACCCAAGGAGGGGTCGCTATGAGTCGGGGCCGACTTGACGGCACATAACAACAACAACAACAACATATTTCCAAAAATCAGTCAATAAAAACCTTATCAACCACAACAGAGTATTGTCTGACTTGCTTGCTTTGGACATGTCATCAGGAGGGGTCAATAACTACAGGGGAACATTGTGTCTGGTGAAGTAGTGGGCCAGTAAGGTTGTGGGAGACCCTCAGTAAGATATACTTGAACATGCTGTCAGTTGTGAGTATGAAACAGGGTTGGGAGATGTTTTGTTCTGTTGTCCATAGGTCCCCAAGAGTCAGAGACAACTCAATGATACTTAGCAACAATGTGGTAACTTTTAATAGCAAGGAAGTTAGCCAGTGTATTCACCTATGGTGCTGCTCTAACAGAAAATACCACAAATGGATGGTTTTAACAAACAGGGATTTATTCTCTTATAGGTTAGGAGACTAGAAGTCTGAGTTCAAAGTGCCGCTTCTAGTGGCTAGGTGAAGGCCCCTCGA